TTTCACACTCCTCCCAATTCTTTCTTAATTCAGAAGAAATATATTTACTTTTTATTGTTGGGCATCTTTGTAACAATTCGGGTTGCCACATTTCCGAGTTTACCCGGGAAACCTGGGATTTTAGAATAATCTATAGGCTTAAGGTTTCAATATTAAATGTCGCCAGACAATATAATAAAATAATTTTGTACACAACATTTCTTTTCATTTTTAAAATGTTAACTTTCTAATGCATCTGACGTCATAAATGTAAAGCACGAATGGCAAATAGTTCAAGAAATAGATTGGCTGTCAATAATAATCATAGGTTTTATATTTCAAAATGAACGCGTGATTTCAGTAATAACAAGAAATTTTTAATTACTTTCTTTTTCAGCGTGAATAATATTTAGTCAGTTGACACTGTGGATGCTCAGACAGTATTGTAGCCGATGTACACCTAATTAAATTAAAAGTTATGAAAATCATTTTTCGTTTTCTACTAAATGTTTATTATAATTTTGAACCCAATGTTCTTCCGACTGGTTGGGCTCTCTTTTTTTCACTCGACAACCTCTAGGTCACAGACATCCAAAAGATGGTAACTCTAGTCATAACCCTTTCTCTTGGAAGCGCAAACCGCGATGCAACGCGCCGAGAATAAAAGAATTGACGAAGACGACGCCCCAACTTCCGCACCCCTCGGCTTAACCGCAGGTTCATTCCTGAGGCGCGCGTCAGCACGAAAGCGTCTTCTCGCTCCTTCCAGGAAGGATCGTCCGTTAGTGCAAAGGTCACAAAAGGAAGAGTTAGGCAGATTTTTTTCCACGACCTGGCTGACCTTGTCCGCGGCTACTGCCTAACCCTCGATTGCCGTTGGTAATCATCCTGGCCACCTGGACCACTGAAGAAGCAGAACATCTTGGAGATTTTGTGAGTAGTTTGGCGTGAGAACATGTGAATTTTTTATGCATTTTCGAGAAGATTTCAGGCAGAATCTTCACCATTGAGAAAGTTCTTATCTTCTGAATCTTTAGAGGCTATTTAGTAACAACGTTGGAATAAGCAGAAAATTACTACCCAAACGTGAATAATTGATTCGACGTCCCTGCTTTTTTTAATATAAATATTTTTGTGGACCGTGACCAAACTACTCGTTAAACGACTGAACGAAAAAAAGGCATGACGTGTTCAGAATTTTAAAGCAAATCTTGTTCTTTGCAAAGAACCTTGATTCTCTCGCCGAGTGAAGATGATTTGCTCGACTGGAGCGAGAAATGAGACAAAGGTTCCCGTGGGCGATTGTTGACAAATCTGTTTCTCAGGGAAATTTCGGTTTGGTTAGTAGGTTAATCGATTTCAAATAACTTAACTGAAAAATGTAATCTCCAACCAAATGAATTGAAGTTATTTTCACGTAAATATCACGTAAATTATTGTTTCAAGCAAAACGTACAATCAAAACCTGTGGAAATCAAAAAATCCTTTCGAAGCCTTTTTTTAAAAAAGTGAAATAACATGTTTTACGTTAACGTGCAAAGAAAATTCCATTGGTGAACAATATAGCCCGTCTAAAGAATGAATGAATTAGTATAATAATGATTAAATTTGAATCAAAACGGACAGTTTTGATTCCTAATTCATCATTAGCAAATACGTACCGAGAATTCATCGGTTACTAGACCGAAACTTTTAAGATCTCCGAACATATAAACATATGAAAGGTTGATTTTTTTCAACAACCAAACCAAAGAACGTGAAAGGATATATTATCAGTTGTTGGAATGAGATCGTCCTAGTTTTTTACATGCAAGTCTTGCATGTTAAGTCATCCCATTATCAGGAAATCAATGCAAAATAAGCCTACTTTACGTCTCAATTTCTCTGGAGCGTGCGTTACGTGAAACAAACGGTGCAGGTAAAGAGAAACGGGAAGTGTAAGCGCCTGGGAAAATCCCCGAGACGGATTACTCGGCTCCTTGAAGCCCTCGGCGCCGCACACAGAGCCGCGCATTTGCGCAAATCGCGATCAAAGAGCCTGTCCTATCTTATCTGCATCGGGCTGCCAGCTACGGCGGAGGGCGGGTGCCGAAACAGTGGGAGGCGTGCCCGCAAACGCGCGGTGCGGGAGAGGGTGGGTGCGAGGAGAGCTGTCGCGGGGAAGGAGGGGGTTGGGGCGACGGTTGCGGCGAGTCGCTCGGGGCGCGGGGCGCGGCGGTTCCGGGCGCGTTCGCGCTGCGCTGCGAGGGCGGGCAAGACGCTCCCACGGCCAGCATTGGGGAGAGAAGCGGCGGCGGCGGCGGGGCCGGCGCGCGGCGGTTGGTAGGTGGTGGTGTGTGGTGGTGAATGGCGGGGCGATTGCTGGCTTATAGGGGGCGGTGGTTGCAGGCAGTCGCAGTGGCAATAGCAGTGGTTGGTGGTGTTGGTGTGGTGGTGACGAGGCAGGCGGATTAGAAGGGTAAGTTGGCGGAGAGGGGTGTGGCTGAGGCCATTATAACGCATGGCGGCGGTTTGATGGCGGTGCAGCACGGACATGCGGTGATGGTGGGCACGGTGGCGGCGGAAGGCGGCGGCGGCGGCGGCGCAGGGTGTGGTGTTTGACGGCGGCAGCGGAGGGTGGTGGCGGCGGGATGGCTGGGATGGAAGCTGGGGTGGAGGTGGCGGGGGCGGTAGAGGTAAATGACGTGGAGGTGGTGGCAGCTGTGTGGCCGGGACACACGCGCTGCGGCAGCCACTGGTGTGTGACGTTAACCTCGTGGCGATCTCGGACCTGCAGCCTTCGCTCCTCTGCCACAGGGTCCACCAGGCGCCAAGCCCCGGCCAGCAATTGCCACCGCGAGGCTGGCCTCTCCAGTGCCCACAAGGCTGAGGTTACAAGTCGCTTCCTCTAGAGCCATAACGGAATGCTGGGATGGCCATGTCCTAATATCAGATGTATTCTTCCGCGAACTGTGAATATTGACGGAATTATGAAATGGCGAACAATGATATAAATAATTATATTGTAAACTTGATTTGTCATTGTCTACGCCAACATTAGTTAATTCAATGCCCTAAATAGAATTCGAATCTACAATTTTAGGGATGCCGATCCGCCCATATATTAACGCTACGCTGCAAAGGATGACTAACTATGAATTCATTGCGGTTACGATTTTCTATAGTTTCGAATCCATGCAGTTTTCTACATAGAATTAGTGTTGCTTTTTCGGTGCACAGATTACGTAATTCATAAGCATCAAATCAAATAATTAGCTCGCGATGAAAGAAAATTTTATTTAATATTATAAACAATATTCACATTAAAAGACAATCCTATTAAAAATGCACTATTAGAAAAGCTTGGTGTTCATAACGCTTTTTTTCTTTGTAAGATCTGCTATATTAGTACATATGATACGTTAAAGAAGAACCTGACAACAAAGCGGTACGACCGCTATTAACAGAAGGGAATTGGAAGTTGAAAGAATTATTTGCTTATAATTATATAGTTTTTTTAAACTATTTGTCATTAATGTTATCACTCTGATCTATTGAACGTCTTCTAAAACAATTGTAATAATTATGACGTTTATACGACCCCCAAATAAAAATTTTCAATTTTAAGACTACGATTTTAAACCTGTGTCGTATGCACATGTGGCTTGGTTGGCTTCGCTTACCATCTCAAATCACAATCATTGATCTCTCATCATCACTCACACCTCATTGATCGTCTTTACCGTATCCATCCAGGTGACCACCAATTCGATAATCTAACCAGAAGAGGGAGGTCGTAAATGGCATAAGCCCCACCCTCCGTCTCAATCTGATTACTCAATTCTCTCCCCATCTCATCATCGAGTAAGTTCCCTTATTTATTTCAATGACCTGAATACGAGCGACGGCGGCGTGGTTGACATCTACTGCGACATCCCTCCTGTCAGCGACATGTAGCCGCTCTCCCGCCTCGTCGAGCGTCTCGGCTCCCATCGCCTACCCCCTCACGCGAATCGAAAGTCGCAGCCGCTGCGTGCCTGATTGTTACTCAATCGTCTCATTGTATCCGAGATAAGTGTCATGGGCGTTGCGACACGACGGCATTTGTCGAGGTAGCGAAGACTCCTCCTCTTATGATGGGCTCATTGCCTTTTGTCTGGACCACTTCATTATACTCGTTTAAGAATCGAAGTAGTAGTTGTACCCACGTATTTACAGTGTGCGTTGGAATTATAACCTAGAGCCTCTAGAATTTAAATGCGGCTTTCGCCGATATATTGTGATTATTTTTCTCCAACCGGTGATTCGTCAAGGATCATTGCGACTGGGATGAATGATAATGAAGCCCGCATGAGTCCCAGAGATATAACTATCCTTTCTATCTAGATAACCTTGACATCTTTGAAAAAAATTAACAAAAAACATATTTAATAAAAGATGTCAGCGGTGTGTTCGTAATTTTCGAAATAAAAGTGGAAATTAAAGGAAATGTTTACAGCACAACTGAGAATAGCGGTGAAATCGGGAAGGAACCTATCCCACGGTCTGTAGCCATCTTTAACGTGCGTGCGTGGGTGGGCGGGGGGTCAGAGTCTTCGTTCCCCAAAGGTCGCATTCCAAAAACGGAAGAGAAAGGAATAATAATTTACGGTTTGGCGAAGCATAAAACCTTCCACAGGACACCTGCGAAACAAAACCATCAGCACGTTTTGTCAAGACGCCCAATCCTTCGAACCTTCATGGGTTGTAATCTTTCTTGATATGCCAGTTGGCTACCTTGAAACAGGACGCGCTCTTCAATTTATTGCACATCGAATTAGACTCCGGCAATAAATCGATGCGATTTGCATGAGAAGCGAAAGAGGATATTCTCCGTTCCCCATCGGTGCTTCGAGAGAGACCCATCGCTTTGCCTAATGAACGGCCGTTCTAAAAATACGTTCGCCCAGGTCGCAGGAAGGGCGACGGGCGTGCTTTTCCTTTTCTTCGACGTCCCGCCGCGCCGCGCCAGACCGGAACGCCGCCAAAGGTCAAGAACTCACCTAAAGTCACTAGCGCTGTCCTCATGGCGATCGCTGGGCCGTGTCGGTTGCTCGTCACACTCTTGGCACCTGCAACAGATACCGAAGGAGGGGGGGGTCAGTCGACCGCCTCAGTGGCTCTCCTAGCAGACACGTCAGCGGGAAGGTACGCTATTTCTGCCATGTCAGCAACGTTTCATGAGGATCCGCCCGTTAAGAAACATGAGATGAGTTTTTCTTTAACATTAGAGGAGCGGAGGGGCTGGAGTTATTTTGAGATTTTTCTTACACCTGACATTATCGCTTATAAGAATCTCTTTTTCATTAGGTGGAAGGAAAAACTAACGTCAAGGCTCAAAAACACAAATAATGGGGATGTTCTTTTAAACGATTCAGTACAAATAATATTAAAAGAAGATTAAAAATAGACTCTCCAAATGTGTCGTATCTTGAAATGTCTGAAAAAGTCTTACTTAGACCCTAAATGCCTTCATTTTAACGAACAATTCACCACATCATAAAAAGACTCGACAAAGCAAAATTGACTAAGAAGATTCATTTTCCTTTCCGTTCTGAAAAGTTCAGGAAGATAGAAAGGGGATGATCGTCTTCCATAAGAACATCAACTCTGCAAATGTATACACAAGTCTCATTTCATATCGTTTACTAAGAAGAAAGTTTCTCCTTGAGAGGGAGAAGCTACTTGACTTACACCAAAAGAGCCGGTCATTACGTGGCCCGAGTTCGTCACTTACACTTTCGTTGAAGTCTCCACGTAACACTCGAGCTAAACCGGCAAAGCGTGCCTCGCCCACCGCGAGAGAAGTTTTTTTGTAATTTACATTTCGCATTTGTTCTCAGCATCTCCTGACTATTCATGAGAACACAAAGAACAACGGTTACACCAAGCACGTAACCACTAATAAGGTCAAAGAAAACGACGCGGTCACCGCGACTCTTCCAATTCCTACGAGTCATCGCCTTCGAATTGTGTAACCCTTAAGTGGCACTGCTTCCTCCGCAGCGAGACAAAATCTGACAGGCGCATCCTACCGCAAAAGAAGCAAACCGAAACCTTTCTATAAATTCTGACGCCTTTCTTAAAGCGCCGCTGGGCGAGTGGCGCGCTGGTGGCGTAATTTCTGCGACCGGGCCAGAACCACCGCGGCGGTGGCGGCGGCGCCAACTCTGTCGCGTTGAGATAATTGCGCGTGTTTCTAAATCTTGTGGAATCTTTTTGCGGTTCCGCGCCGTTAATGAGTGCGCGTGGGAAAGTGTGGGTGAAGGGGTCAGTGGGTAGCACCACCTGCTTCTCCCACCTCCCCATCGCTTTCTTGGTGCACGGCAGTTTCAAATTTACGCGCAGAGAAAACATCTGAGTAGATAACATTGTACGGAAAATGACCTTTCTGCGTGCTTGTTATATCTGTCGGCGTGATAGCCCGTCGTTCATCAATTACTACAATTATAGTTTAATTATTCTCGATACTTCTTGAAGATAGAGAGAGATATTGTGAATAACACTGCTTGCGAAATATATTAATTTTAATGTAATCATTTTTAAAACCATGGAATTAGTTATTTCTTCGATGAAATTTTTGCGATACTTGTCATTTATTTTGTATTAAGTTGAAGAATAATGAACAATAATTGTATTGCAGGCTGCTAAAAGTTGTTCTACTTAATAAATCGGAATCAAAGTAAAGAAAACACATTGTTTAACAAACGTTTCCAATTTAATTTGACAATTTTCGAATATCACTGACTTTGAGACTTTTTTAAAAAAAGGAAGGGATGTAATAATTACAATATTAGTATATGTACACATACTACACCAATATTGAGAATGATTATTAATTTTCACTGTGAAATTAAATTCTTTGAAAACCAAAATACAAAAATTAGTTATCAATTTTTATTAATGTTAATAGAAAGGATGTTAATTTCTAATGTTAATAGAATAACAGGATTAAAACAGTAAGCATCGCATGATGAACAAGAATGGGAAACTCATATTGCATTCTGAACCGCAATAGCCATTGTGTATTCAAGTCTTTCACACAACAGAGACTGTAAAACGACTGCGAAGTGTTGAAGTCATTGACTTTCAACGCATCAAGTTCACCGGCTCGGAACGGCATTGGACTTGGCTGGAAACTAACTGGTAGAGCAAGGGCTAGCAAATTGAAGTGCTCGATAGCGGAACTATAACAACAGTAATTAGTCTCATTAGCTGAGAGAAACTTAAACAAAAAGTTAAGCGGGAAGCCTCACAAGACGGCGTTTAACTGAACCATTAGCTATCACGAACATTCTCATGCAAGTAAAAATTTGATTTTAACACGTTTTCAAAGTGTTTTTAACGTACTCAATTGTTATGTGACTGGCTTTCAAAATTCAAATAAGCGATTTTTCGAAAACTTCAAAAGATCCAAATGATTTTGTTACTTTTATTCACAAATAAATAGTAAGCATTGTAAGACGATCGAAATGTAGTTTCGAAAAACAAAAATCCAAAATTCTTCGAATCACGGCCTCCGCTATCTACCGAACGACACACAAAACGTCCTGAGGTGTTCACACGAGTATACCGGCACCCAACACTTGGGGGGCACGCGGAGCCAACGCAAACTTCGAGCACACGGGCACACTGGCACACCGGAACACTACCCGCCGAAGCAGCCAGAGCGCCCCCGAAGACGAGCCTCCGGCTTCACCGTCAGCGCCACACCGTTCGGCCGCAGCCGGGCCCGCGGTCCGTACCTAGAGAAGAAGGTGTCTGGATGTTGCCGTGGCCGCGAGGACCGCGCGAAACTGCCCGTTTGAGAGGCAGAAGAACACTAGGCCGCCGCCAAGTGATGCAATCCACAACATTACACTTGGGCTCCCCCTCCAGGCGCCCGGGCGCGCGGTGAAAGAGCAAACAGCATCCAGCGATAGGCGGTGGAGGCGGCTCGGGGCATCTTCGCACTTTCCCTTTCAGGCCGTTGCGGCGGGGCGGGGCGGCGGCGGCGGCGGCCGGGAGGGAGGGAGGCGCTCGGCCACAGCTTCCCCCAAGCTTTCCGTCGGGAACTCCCCTGCTCCGCCCCCGCTCCGCGCCATCCCCACTCTCCACCCCCGCAACCTCGACGCACCTCCGGGCGGCGCGACTCGCTCACCACCCGACCCGACGCGACCCAACCCGGCTCAGCTCGCAGGCACGCACGCGTCCGAATCACGTCCGATGAGCAGAATCCCGGCTCGGGAGGCGTGAGTCGAGGTTTCTGTATAGAAATGTACTTACGCAAAGGGCGGGAATTAATATAATATGCGTTTGCGAAAAGTACGGCGCCGCGCAATAGCGGCGAGAATATTACGATCATTAGCTTGTAACTCTCCTCCACTTTTTTTTCCTCGTAGATTGTAATAAGACATAATTATTTCGATGTATTTAATGCAAGAAATCATAAGTACTCCTACGTTCCGTTATTTGCGAGACTGGGGCACGCTACAGAAATGAAGAAATCATTACTTTTTCTTGCCTCATTTTGGCTAATACTCGACGAGCAAAGGACCGGACGCTAGGTACACTTTACCTCATTTTTATGTGTTCTTTACTTCCTCGTTTTTTATCACACATGTCACTTTCTAGAGTTTCGTCGTATATCTTGCCCCAAAGGTTTGGACATAAGAGCAGAGGAAGAAGAGACGAAAGTTTTCGTGAAGTGGCACGGTGGTCATCCTCCACAAGTTGTGCGTGAGAAGAGAGAAGATGGACAGTTAAAGAATGTGAAGGACGTCATTTTCGTGAAAAGACGAAGTAATTTCTCGTTTTACTCCGTTTGCATTGGATTCATAGGTGGTTATACCCCGTCCGCAATAAACCGGTCTTCTTCATTGCCAGTTCCACTCTGGGAAGAGATGACACCTAGAGCATCTTTTCCCTCAAGGTCCTATTCCAATGGCAATAACATTCCGCTGGCTATGGTCACCGATCAGGTACTTCTCGCTTGGTAGCCTTGAGCGATATTTGAGAAGCTAATAATGGCGCAATCACTCTCACTGCGGAGGGTAAACTGGGTACAGCGCTCCCACGCCATTTACATCTTCTGCCTAGAATGAGCAAAATTTGAATAGGACGTTTCTTCTCAAAGAAGCAGCCTAGTGTGTAACCACACCACACTGTGGCGAGAGGTACGTCCCCTACCATGTTGAACCTTGTACTGCCAATGAAATGTAAAAAGCGAATTAATAATGGTGAAAACGAGGATTGCTACATCTCTTCGGAACAAGTTTACAGATTAATCCTGATTATGATAGTAATTATTATAGAGGTGGTGGTGGTGGATGATTGGTTGATTATTTACTGTTTTCTAGCGCGTCAATTACAATGGTCATTAAGCTCGAAAGTGTAGCATTATATCCCACAAGGTGGCCGTGTTCCTTCTTGTTGGAACGTGAGATCCGTCGCCGACCTATACGTCGGCTTGCGAGGTTTTCCCTTTGCAGGTGTCTTCCCCAGCGGGGCACTTCCCCAGACGCAAGCACCAGTAACCCCATTGGACTCCCGGAATGAGAGGTAGTGTAAGGTATGTAAGCTTATGCGTGTATAAGGGAAGAGAAAGGGTTATATTCGTGATAAAAAAAGATGAGATAAGAAAGAAAAAGATCTCGTGCGGTCCTTCGTCAGTTCTTTTTAAATATTCATTTTAGGTCGCTTTAAAAATATGTAACGTCATTAATGGCCACTATTGATTTACACCATACATTTTATAAATTACAACAAACATAAACATTAGGGACAATAAATTTTACGATAATCCTGATCATATTATCACAACCAGTAATATTAAGGTAATTTGAAATTGACTTGAAACCTGCAATTGAATTAAATATTTCATAATTTCGCCTTGTTCAGTTTGTTAAGGTAGTGCTCCGGAATTTGCCTGGTAATGGTCAGAGAAAAGCACTAAAAATTAGAATAGACTATCCCAACGATAGAATTTTCAAGTGGTTGAATTCGACTTAGCTACAGTTAAGATCAAAATCTGTCTTCACTCGAAGTTTAGGGCAGACGTGCGGCAGAAGCAGCGGCAATGCTGCCATTGAGC